CATCTACAGCCAACTTATATTTGATCAAGGATCCAAAACCAATCCCTGGAGCAAGGACAGTCTATTCAATAAATGGTGCTGGGAAAATTGGATTTCCACGTGCAGAATCAAGAAGCAAGACCCCTACCTTACACCTTACACAAAAATTCACTCAATATGGATTAAAGACTTAAATATATGACCTGACCATCAAATTATTAGAGAACTTTGGAGAAACCCTGCAAGATGTAGGTACTGGCAAAGACTTCTTGGAAAATACCCAAGAAGCACAGGCAGTCAAAGCCAAAATTAACATTTGGGATTGCATTAAATTGAGAAGTTTCTATACTTCAAAAGAAACAGTCAGGAAAGTAAAGAGGCAAACAACAGAATGGGTAAAAAATTTGCAAACTATACAACAAATAAAGGGTTGATAACCAGAATCTACAAAGAAATCAAGAAACTCCACAACATCAAAACAAACAACCCACTTAAGAGATGGGCCAAGGACCCATCTCTTTTTTTCAAAAGAGGAAATCCAAATGGCCAATAAACACATAAAAAATGTTCAGGATCACTAGCAATCAGGGAAATGCAAATCAAAACCACAATGAGGTTTCACCTCACCCCAGTTAGAATGGCTCACATTCAGAAATCTACCAACAACAGATGCTGGAGAGGATGTGGGGAAAAGGGGACACAAACCCACTGTTGGTGGGAATGCAAACTGGTCAAGCCACTATGGAAGTCAGTCTGGAGATTCCTCAGAAACCTGAATATAACCCTACCATTCAACCCAGCCATCCCACTCCTTGGAATTTACCCAAAGGAAATGAAATTGGCAAACAAAAAAGCTGTCTGCACCTTCATTTTTATTGCAGCTCAATTCAAAATAGCTAAGACCTGGAACCAATTCAAATGCCCACCAACAGTAGACTGGATAAAGAAATTATGGGACAGGTACTCTATAGCATACTATACACAAGTCAAAAACAATGAAATCCGGTCATTAGCAACAAGATGGAGGAATCTGGAAAACACTATGCTGAGTGAAATAAGCCAGTCCCAAAGGGACAAATATCATATGTTCTCCCTGATCAGCGACAACTAACTGAGCACCAAAGGGGAAAGCTGTTAAAGTGAAATGGACACTATGAGAAACAGTGACTTTATCAGCTCTTGTCCTGACTGTTGATGTACAATGTAATACTTTATCCACTTTAGTATTTTTTTGTTCTAGTACTATTGGTTGAACTCAGTAATTAACACACATTTATTCTTAGGTGTTTGAATTATTAACTGAAAAGTGATCCCTGTTAAATATAAGAGTGGGAATAAGAGAGGGAGGAGATGTACAATTTGGGACATGCTGAAGCTGACTTGCCCCGAATGGTGGAGTTAGAAACGTGCCAGGGGATTCCAATTCAATTCCGTTAAGGTTGCATGTACCAATGCCATCTCACTAGTCCAAGTGATCAATTTCAGTTCACAATTGATGATAATGATAGGTCTAAGAGTCAAAGGGATCACGCAAACAAGACTAGTGTCTGCTAATACTAACTGATAGAATCAAAAAGGGAGAGAACGATCCAACATGGGAAGCGAGATACACAGCAGACTTATAGAATAGCAGATGTCCTAAATAGCACTCTGGACTCAGAATCAGCCCTTAAGGCATTCAGAAATGGCTGAAGAGCCCATGAGAGTATTTAATGCATGGAAAGCCAAGACACTCTGGCAAAAAAAAAAAAAGAGGACCCAAATGAAAGATATCTGCGAATGAAATCCCAGTGGAAGGAACGGGCCATCAAAGAAGGAGGTACCTTTCTCTGAAGGGAGGAGAGAACTTCCACTTTGACTATGACCCTGTCAGAATAAGATTGAAGTTGGCAAACTCAAACGGCTTCCATAGCCTTGGCAACTCATGACTAGAGCCTAGGGAGATTACTAACCCCATAAACAAGAGTGTCAAATTGTTAAGTCAACAACAGGAGTCACTGTGTACTTACTCCTCATGTGGGATCTGTCCTTAGTGTGTTATCCAATGTGAAGTAATGCTATAACTAGTACTGAAACAGTATTTTACATTTTGTGTTTCTGTGTGGGTGCAAACTGATGAAATCTTTACTTAATATATACTAAATCGATCTTCTGTATATAAAGATAATTGAAAATGAATCTTGATGTGAATGGAATGGGAGAGGGAGTGGGTGATGGGAGGGGTTAGAGTGGGAGGGAAATTATGGGGGGGGCCATTGTAATCCATTAACTGTACTTTGGAAATTTATATTTACTAAATAAAAGTTAAATACTTAAAAAACATATTATATGTATGTTTTTTCTACATAAGCTTTCCAATGAAAAAACAATCTGGAGAAAAACTGTGTGCACACATGGTTTTTCCTACACTGAAGCTCTGTCTTTAATTCTCAATGTGGGATGGTCATCGTGACATAGCAGTTTAGCTGTGCTAAGGTTCCTCCATCTCATACTAGATGCCTGCGTTGGAGTTTCTACTTTGCTTCCTAATAGTGCATACCTGATGCCTTAAGGACATGGATCCCTGCCACCCATGTGGGTGACCTGGATGGAGTTCCAGGCTCCTGGATTTTGCCTGGCCCAGCCCTAGCTGTTGTGGCCATTTGGGCAGTAAACCAATGAATGGAATATTTCTCTGTCTCTGTGTCTCTGTCTTCCTCTCTCCCTTTTGCTATTTCCAACAAAAAAAGAAAACTCAAGGCAGTCCTCTAGTAAAGTCTTCTTGCCCAGCTGACTCTGTTAACCTTCTCAAACAGACAACACAAAAACAGCATGTGTTTGGAGGCAGATTAGAACATTCATCTTCAAGTTCTTAAGAAAACATCCAGGATCCATTCTATTTTGGAAATAGTATGGCTGTAAAAGATGAGAGAAAGCGAAATAGGAGAGAGAAGAGAGTGCAATAGCTAATTTTCTCAAAGCAAAAATGAATCACTCAATTCTCATTTTATGTTCCCACCATTCTTTTAACAATTGCTCCAGAGAAGACAGAAGAAAGATAATCCCCATGTCTACTGGAATTTTTACCTCTTGCACAACATAACTGAATCTGTTATAGCAATTGTCAATAAAACGTCAAGATTTTGATTCATAGTAATGATAATCTTTCCTGGGAAGGAAAGGCTACTCCTTTCCATTTGCTTTGGTTTCTCCACTTTCCCTTCACATTTTGGAGATCTCAAACCTGCTCTCATCAAAGATTTATTATTTTTTTCCTAGGGTGAGATTCTGGGTGGATAGTTAGGAAGGCAATAATAACTTGTATAAAGCATGGTCCTTGGGGCTGGCGCTATGGCGCAACAGGTTAACATCCTGGCCTGAAGCTCTGGCATCCCATATGGGCGCAGGTTCTAGTCCTGGCTGCTCCACTTCCAAAACAGCTCTCTGCTGTGGCGTGGGATAGCAGTAGAGTATGGCTCAAGTCCTTGGACCCCTGCACCCACGTGCCCATGTGGGAGACCTCGAAGAAGCTCCTGGCTCCTAGCTCTGGAACAGCACAGCTCCGGCCAGCCGTCATGGCCATCGGATGGAAGACCTCTCTCTCTCTCCCTCTCCCTCTCCCTCTCTCTCTCCCTTTCCTTCTCTGTGTAACTCTGACTTTCAAATAAATACATGATTTTATTTTTTTAAAAGCATGGTCCTTGTAGTCACAGTGAGTGAAAAAAGTCCAATCACAAAGTCGCTACAGGAGAGTTTGAGAGTGAGACGAAGGAGACTAAAGTGATTAAAGGTACTCGTTTAATATTTCACGTGGTTAATGAAGGGAGATAGAGTAGCCTGATCTTTGCACTACTGCTAGCTTCTTATTTCATTTTGAGTCTTTTGGTAATAAGACTATTTGAAATTTTCTGGGAAAAAATCAATGTTCACTTTTGAAATGAGAAGACATTTGATAAATAGTCAATAGTAATATCTCAAGGATCTAGATCAATTATTTTGAATTCCACTCCAATTTTTATTGGAATCTTACTTCTCATAGTTATGTAATACCGGACAGTTGGCTCTGATTCTATTGAAATATTTCATTTTTCCAATTCTATTTCTCCTCCCAAATATTTCAAGTAGGAATTGTAACAGCCAGTCTTTTATAAAGTAGGAAAATTTATAAAATTAATTGTAGAAATATTTTATGGAAACTTTCTTCTATTATAAAATTTTCTTTCTTAGAAATTTGGGGCATTTGTTAGTACAATCAGCAATATAAAACAGGAAAAATAGAAGTGCTTCCAAATATTCTAATGTTTAACTAGTTCAGCCCCAAATGGCTTGAGGTTCGCTCAGAAATAAATCTTTTTAAAAAAGCAGAAATCAAATATCTCTGAGATATAGAAAATATTTAAGAGAACTAAAAAATATATATTCCACGTCAGAAAGAGTACACTGTTTTTCTCCTATCAAATAGCAGCTTCCCAAGAACATTTCTACATTCTTTCCAGCATTGTTGACCTTTAAAACTTCATTTCTTGAAAAAGGAAATGAAAGATATCTGCTTTGCAAATTAAAAAAAAAAAACATTTGGGGATGTGTGGGAGGTTAGCAACACATCAGGGATCCTTTGCAGGACTCAATGCTGTGGGCTCCAACTCTCGTCATGCCACAAGACAGCTCCTGCCTCTTTCCTCTTCACTCCCTCCATCCCCCATCCAGATGGCCTCCTGTTAAGAACAGGAAAACCATTTCTCCTCTGTGCTTGGCTAAAAGTAGAATCTGTTATAGAACATTGCCTCTCCTAGGTAAGGGGTGAGGGAAATGCTTCCTTGGGTTCCTTGGGCTCTCACTTTCAAAGTAGAGGCCCATGAAACACTGAGTCAACTGGGCAGTCCCGAGGACCATCTGTGAATGGAAGTGAACGGTACTAGTGCAGAACAGAGTTTGTGGGAATATCTCACAAACCTTATAACTACAGTGCTTAGAAGATCCAGTTTCTGTTTCCAGCCATACATCTATTCACTTAATAGCAATGAAAATAAATAGAGGCCAGAATGGTGGTGAAGCTGCAGCCTGATCCTCTGACACCCACATGGGCACTTGTTCCCGTCCTGGTCGCTTCACTTCTGGTCCAGCTCTATGCTAATAGCCTGGAAAGGGAAGTGGAGAGTGGGCAAGTGCCTGGGCCTCTGCCTCTAATGTGGGAGACCCATATAAAGCTCCTGGGTCCTTGCTTCTGCCTGGTCCAGTTCAGCTGTTGCAGCCATTTGGAGACTGAACCACTGGAGGGAAGATCTTTGTCGCTTTCCTTCTCTCTGTAGTGCTGACTTTGAGGTAAATAAATAAATCTTTGAAGGAAAAATGAAAATAAATAACTTGTACAATAATCATTAAAACTATCAATGAGGATTAGTTTTGCCTCAGTTCTGGAGAATGTTTCAAGTGGGATCTTGCAGCAAAACCCTTTCATTCATGTTAGTATTTCTCTCAAGCTATAGGAAATTATCTTGTTTGCTGATTTGCCAGTGACTTGCATGCATGGAAGCCAAGGTCCTGTTATTTAAACTGTGTATCTTGTAGTTTGATAGTTGAAGGACAAACACCCTCATGGAGCTGGAATTAGAACTGGCAGCATTATCATATATGAATGGCAAGAAAGGCTTCCAGGTTTTTCTTTGCCCATTGTTTTAGGGAGACAGGTGTTTATGAAGTGTATCAACAGGAAGTCACTGAGCCAGCCAGCTTTGTTTAACATATGTCTGTCAGCTAAGCACACCACTACGGGGGAGATTGGCATAGTTTTTGGCATTTGAGCAGGAGTGTGTTTTTGTAAAAGCAGCTTCCAGTCTAAGACAATTTTCCATGCAACTGGAGATAGGTACACTGTGCAATTCAGAAAATTTTTTTCTCTTCTTCCCTTTACTTTTTTTAAAGAAACTTCAAGACCAATTCTGAGTTGTGTGGTCTATATATATAGAAATGAAGTAATTTTATTGCCTTTTCTTTTTTTCTGTTGTTTTTAAACATTCCCATGTTAACAGAATGTTTTATTTTATTTATTTTTATTTATTTATTTTTTTTTTGACAGAGTGGACAGAGAGAAAAGAGAGACAGAGAGAAAGGTCTTCCTTTGCTGTTGGTTCACCCTCCAATGGCCGCTGCAGCCAGCGCACTACGCTGATCCTATGGCAGGAGCCAGGTACTTATCCTGGTCTCCCATGGGGTGCAGGGCCCAAGGACTTGGGCCATCCTCTACTGTACTCCCTGGCCACAGCAGAGAGCTGGCCTGGAAGAGGGGCAACCGGGACAGAATCTGGTTCCCTGACCGGGACTAGAACCCGGTGTGCTGGCCCCGCAAGGCGGAGGATTATCCTAGTGAGTCGCGGCGCTGGCTAACAGAATGTTTTAACGTATTTCATTGTTAAAAGCATACAATGTTCTGTAAAAAAATCATGATAAATTAGAGCACCTGTTCCACTAAGTCCTAGCCATTTAATTTTCAGGGCTGACATGAAATTGTGCACAGTAAAGATATTTTCATTTGAGCAAACTTAAAAGTAATATATCCAGTTGTTGTTGCTTCTTTAAGAATTTTTTAAAGTCTTACATTTGAAAGTCCATGAAATTCTTCCATATTCAATTACTATATGAAATAATACATTTCATGGTGCCTGATTTAAATTAGCAGCACCCAAAGTCCCAGGAGCAGCTTTTATTTGGAAAATAATTTGTAAAGGATAGAATGCTCATCAGTTCATTCAGATCAAAGACACAGAGGGAAGAATGGTACTTTTAGAGTAAAGCAGAATAATTTCAGATTATAACAATGACATTTCTGTTGCCTCATTTCATTTATATAAGAAGGAAATTTCCTAAGACTTATCTGTAAAGTACTTGGTGCAATTTATATATAAGCCTAATCATTTTACAGGAAACAAATTTGAGGATCATTATTAACTCTTAAATTTTATCCATGTGAGCATAAAAATAAGCACACGGCACTGGGGATGTGAACCTAGCTTAATCATGGCAGAGACTCACGATCTAACAGAAAAATGCATACTGAGAAATTACTCACCAAAATAGCTTTCTAAAATGATTGCCTTACATGGATCCAACAAGGAATCAACTTTCCCCTGCAGCAATCTTCCTTGTTAACAAAACAGAACAAAATATGCAAAGGCAGCACGCTTTTTCTTTGGCTCCTAACATCTAATAGTTTGTTCTCCCAAAAGACAAATTTTGGATCTCAATCATTGTCTTTTTGCATTATGAGTGAAAATGTCCTCGTCCACTCTAATCTTATAAATATTGCCTTCAGGGACAATCTCCTGTCTAGTGTCTGTCTGGTCACACCTGGCCCACTGGACATTTATTTGGACATAAACTGCTGCTTGTGTAACTCTGATTTTATCTTCATTCCATATTCCTCTCAGTTTTCCAGCTTATTTTTCCTTTCCTCTCTCTGCATGCTTGCTATGCCCTTCCTGGTCATATTCTACAAGTCTTTCATGTAATAGTAATTGCATCCTGTGCTTCATGTTTATTTCTTTTGATGTCCCTCTTTTTCAGCACTATATCACATTAATGATTGATAATAACAATAGTTTTCTTAAGTGTTCTCAATGCTTAAAATCTGGATTTCACGCCACACAAATCTTGGGAACAATCTTGAATTGAAGAGCATGTTATACTTCTTCTCAGAGCTATTTCTCATGAGTCTCCATTATATAAAGGATAAAATCTTAAATTCTCACGTTGTTATTCCTTCACAGTTAGGACTTAACCTTTGTTTCTGTTCATTCTTCCATTAAGCCTCTTGAAAAATCTACTTCACAAAGTTGACTTCTGTTTTGCAGCCTCTGACTTGGTCATTTTACCCTGTATGCTTAAATTAATTTTTTCTTCTCATTCTGAGTATTACTTTCTCTCATCATTTTGCTACGTTTTTCACGAACCCATACTTAAACAATTGTGCTTTTATTTAAAAATTTATTCATCAAGTACATGCTATGTGCTAAAGTATATTATGAAATTGCACTTGTGAGTAAAATATCAATATCATCTCCAGCTCCAAGGAGCATATACATTGTTTTAAAAACTATTAATTACAATTGTGTAAACAATGACAAAGAGAGGCATGAACTAACACTCATTGACTGCCTGATTCTCTCAGGAACATTGTATGCTCTCCAGACAACCTTATGATATCAAGATGGTTGTCCTCACAACACTTTAGGGGAGTGGAGGCATAGAATGATCTACAACTTGTTTTTGTTGACACGGCTAGCAAGTGCACTGTCTTCTTTATGAACCAAAGCTTTCTACTGTCTTGTGATGCATGGGACACTTTCCCAGCAATCTTGCTCTCTTTTAACTTCCCACCCTAATTCAGTTTGTACCAAATATTTGACATTTCATACACTGGATTAATGATTATTTATTAGACATAAAGAAAAAAAAACATTGCTTGAATATGTTCCAGCTGGACTAAATGCAAAGAAATATGAAGATCAACATAATAAGCCGGTGCTGCGGCTCACAAGGCTAATCCTCTGCCTTGCGGCGCCAGCACACTGGGTTCTAGTCCCGGTCAGGGCGCCGGATTCTATCCCGGTTGCCCCTCTTCCAGGCCAGCTCTCTGCTGTGGCTCAGGAAGGCAGTGGAGGATGACCCAAGTGCTTGGGCCCTGTACCCCATGGGAGACCAGGATAAGTACCTGGCTCCTGCCATCGGATCAGCGCGGTGCGCCGGCCACAGCGCTGGCCGCGGCGGCCAATGGAGGGTGAACCAACAGCAAAGGAAGACCTTTCTCTCTGTCTCTCTCTCTCACTGTCCACTCTGCCTGTCAAAAAAAAATATATATATATATCTAGTGCTGTTAAGGAGATCCTAGTGTAAGGTGGAAAAAAAGAAAAGTTGAGGGACACTGATTAACAATGTACCAAGTTGAGGGACACTGATCAACAATGTACCAAGGAGTTCATCAAAGTGATGGTTCTACTACTAAAATGACAAGTTCCTCCAACATGTTTGTTTTCACTGTAGTGATGCACTCGATTGCAGGACCTTAATCTCTCCATACCTACCTGTGAACTTCTTTGGAACAGAGAGGTTAGGGGCTAAAGCAGAGAAGATTTACTCAGTGGGAGACTATTTGAATACAATATGAAGAATGATAAGTGACCACCAAGTAAGAAGGGGGAAAAATGCAATTCAGGGAGAAGGGAAATTGTAGGTAAATATAAAGTTGGGAAAAACTTGATATATTCAAAAATAAAATTCAGAATTCACTTTGAGGAAGCAGCACAAATAGAATTGAAAATGTAGACACAATTAAGGTATACCATCCTGACTTTCCTAATTCTGGGAACTTTATTTTTAATGAAGATTTGATGCCACCAAAGGCTAATTACGTCAAAAACTGTTGGAGTCGTGATGAGGAGGAAGGCCTGGGCACTGAAGTGTTTTTAAAAGCTCACCAGGACTATTCTAATGTGCAGTCATCACTGATAATCAGTGCTGCAGGGGATGGAGAGACAAATAAGTTCAGGAAGCGAAAGGCAGGGTCAAGTTTGTGCTGTGGACAGAGCAATCTGGCACCTGTGCAGAAAATAAACTGATGGTGTAGCAGGAGGTAGAGATGCAGTGAGAGTCAGTTAGAATAGTAAAACAAGAGCTGATAAGCAATCACATTTTCTTGTTATGCCTTATGTCTCTGTATTAACTAGACAGCAAACACATCTGAAGGGTTCCTGTCATACTGGTTTTCCTAACAACATTTTCCTTAGTGCAGTGTAGCTATCTAACAATCTTCCTTGAATCTAACATTTCATAATGAGATTTAAAAAAAAAAATAAAAAAGAAGTTATCATCTTAAAAGTGTGTTTTGCGGGGCCAGCGCTGTGGCACAGTGGGTTAAATTCCCAGCCTGCCACACTGGCATCCCATATGAGTGCCAGTTCGAGTCCTGGCTGCTTTACTTCTGATCCAGCTCTCTGCTACGGTCTGAAAAAGCAGTAGAAGATGGCCTAAGTCCTTGGGCTCCTGCACCCATGTGGGAGACCCAGAAGAAGCTCCTGGCTCCTTGCTTCATATTGGTGCAGTTCCAGCCATTGTGGTCATCTGGGAAGTGAACCAGCAGATGGAACACCTCTCGCTCTCTCTCT